GGTGTGTTCCTTTCCTTCAAACAATTCCCCGGCAACGGCGCCAAAAACTTGCTTCAACTTTAATATTGTAAACTCAAGCACAGGTTGAGCGAAGTAATATAATTCTCAGAAGACCGAGGTCGAACCCTCAAGGAATTGTAACAAGAAAACAATCACACAAATACTAAAATAAATTTAAAAATAAATGATTTTTTTAGGAAATTGTTGAGCGAAAAAAAATTGATTTAAATAATTAAAACAGTAATATAAAAAAAATACTAGAGCATCAGGTACTCTCTCTCAATTTCGTACAATAGTGATTAAAGACTCAAATCTTAATTTGAGACAAGAATCAGATGTCGGTTGATTCGGATAACAAATCAAGTAAGAAAACCAAAAGTTATAATCAAAAGATTATTCAGGAACCTGAATAATCATCCAATGATATTATTTTATGAAATAATGACAAGTACTTCAAGCATGGAATAACTAGTTATTTACTCACCGAGAAATTCAAGCAATCGATGTACATGACACAATGACTCAAGGATTTTTACAGAGCAAAAACTTTACTATAAGATCAGAAGTTAAATTAACAAAATATCATAAATAATTCAACTCATAATCAATAACATTACCGTATTTCATTGAGAGATTCTCCCCTAGCCCTAGCTTAGCCTTTTAGCCAGACATGACGAACTAAAATAAAAATAAAGATGAAAAAAATAATAATAATCTCTAAACAAGAACTCCTATTTATACTAAAAATAAATTCTAAATATAGGTAGAAGATATAAGGTTGACTTGGAAGGAATTCCTTTCCCAAAAAGAAGTCTTGTAAGGTTAAATCCCGTACATAAAATCTTTGGGGGCACAGGTACAAAATATGTCCAAACTTCGATATTGAATTTCGCATATTTAGAAGTTGAATCACAAAAATTTCGTGAAATATACTTTTGTAGCCCTTGAAGTCTTTTTTTAATCCCAAAAATCAAGTACATCGGATATCAGAATCAAAAGTTATGACCAAAATACTGAAGACGTGTTAAATTCTTATCTTCTAGGATATTTTCCTAATCCAACTCTAAATGAGTTTTCTTCCAACTTTGACTCTTATAAGGATTAAACTGTTGTCATATCTCTGAATCTTCTTATTTCAATCTTGACTCTTCAATCCTTATCAATTGTGATTCTTCCTCTAGAGATTCCTTCACTTGCCTTATCCATTATTACTTTAAATCAATCAATTTACCTGTAAAATAAACCAAACAATGTAACCAAATAACTAGAAAAAGTATCAAACTAGAAAATTAAAGAATTTAACACATTTAATCATAAATAATATGCAATTAATCAATCATTAAATATAATAAAATAGCAATTTTGATGGTTAATCAAACCACTTCCATTTCGGGTCAGTATTGCTCTCTAGAATAAGCTCAGGTGCCTTTTGCAACACCCTTCTCAACCTCAACACCGCAGCCAAGACATTTTTGAAATATCGACTAACCGTTTCACCTGATCGAAGAAAGTTGAACTTAACCGGTCTATTTTTGTCATCATGACCTAAAATACTTAAGAATATAGCAACCATCTCTCCACACTAACATTCCTAGTTGGATTTAAGCTTCCTACATCATGCACCAAATTGCATAATACCTCAAACGTGTGTCTATCCATCCTCAGTTGGTTTATACAATTTTTATCATTCTCACCAATTAGACGATGTAAGTGTTCACGTTGTAGGCGAATCCTATGCAATGGTTGTGACACCATATGCCTATGCACATTATTTTTCATGTCCCATATCGCGACCATTATACAAATCAAAAGGTGAAACACAATTACCATTTCCCAAATAGTCCTATTCATAATGATAAACAATATACAGACTTCATCACTAAGGTTATCCAAATGCAAAGGTCATAAATTTGAGTTATATGTTAAATTTATCATAACTGATAATTCACAATTTAGAAATATACGTAAATTCGAGATATACATGCTTTAGTTTGTTTTACACGTAATTAAGATTTCATTGATAATGACAAATAAATATGTGATAAACTGGTAACATAATTAAATACATAATATAAGTGAATTCCTTGTATTACCTCACTTGCAGAGACGATCCCGATACACTATACACAAAAAAATAACACACATTTTAGGCCACAACGATATGATATTTACAATTGATAAAAAATTCCCATATATTTGGAACATAATAACATTCGCAAATTTTTTTAACCTAAATTTCATAAATTGTTACAACAAAGTATGACAAAATTATACACACGTACAATTTTCCACATGCTTGAAATTGGTTCAATTGTAACATATTTAGTCATTCACTGCTATTTTAATTAGGATAATAGAAAAACATAACACAAATCGATACAACTCATGCCTTAGTCGTTATTTGTTTCTTTCTAGAAAAACCTAAGTTGTTTGTTTAAAAAAAACTTAGTTGTTTTTTTTAATAAAAAGTCAAATTAATCTGAACCATATTAAATTTTTTCAATGAGCCAAAGTTCAATTCATTTATGTGTGGTATTTTACATGTTTTTTCGCCATCAACCCACAACAAATGCCATCTGAACATAGCCTCCACCCCACTGTGCAACCCTCCAATACTCGCTTAAACCCGCCCCCATTTACATTGTCAAACTCCCCCAACCCCACCCCCAAAAAGCCAACACTCATCGTCCCGACGCCCCATGATGCCCACTCATTAACTTGCATACCCACCCAATTTCATTTTTTTCCTTGTTTCGGCCTTCCCCTTTGTCTCAACCAAATATAAGGACATCATAAGAAAATGAAATTTATTTTCCATGAATTTAAATTTAGGCCTTTTAATTTTATTGACTGAATTAATAGGCCAAATTGGCTCAAATTGAAATATTTTGCTTTAATTTAAATCTAATTTTTTTGTAGGGTCCATTTTTAATGGATTCAGATTTCTTGTTTGAACTATTACTGCAAACCTAAAAATTCAACCTGTCAAAATACTAACAAATATTAAATTCTTAACATCTTGATTTGAAGAACATTTTAGTTGTCTAGTTAGTAGACACATGAGATAGATGTGCTTAAGCATATGAATAAAGCCGGTGTTTATTTTTTTACTACAAATAGTCTTCCCTTGTAATTAGTGGAAGTTTGATTTCTACTTTTTTTGTTGATTAATTACATCAAAGTTGAATGTTTTCCAAGACCTGCCCAGGGGCAAGACAAGGTGTGACCCAATCAGTTTTTATACTATTTATGAATGTTTTGTAGAATTTAAGGGAAGAAATGGATGATCATAAAATTTTCTCAACTTGAATATTTAAGAAGTAATGACGCCATAACACATGATCATTTGGTAGTGATTCTTATTTAAGAAACAATTTCTCTCTATCTCTCCAAACATAATCTAGGTTAGCGTGGAGAGAGAGAGGCTTCAGCTTCAGAGAGAGAAAGAGTGAGAGAAAGAGAGAGAGAGAGAGAACATATTGGGTTCACAGTAGAGTTAATCTTCATCTTAGACTTGCATGGATATAGATAGCAGATCTGCTCAACAGAGTGGTATTTGGAGAGTTCCAAACACCACAATAGCAAGAGACGAAGAAACACAGTACCAACAAAAAATAGGCTATCTGGGTTAGCGTAGAAAGAGAGAGAGAGAGAGAGAGAGAGAGAGAGAGAAAAACATATTATTGGGTCCACAGTGGAGCTGAGCTACAACAAAAATTTACCCAGATCTGCCACTTCCATAAAAAAATCAAAGTCGATGTGAAGTAGTAAGATCGAGCAAATGAAGAAAGAAGAAAAAAAGACAGAAAAGATCGAGCAAATGAAAGAAACAGGGAGATAAGTCAGGCGAGCAAGTTGTTGTAAGACGACAATTTGTAGGGTCAAACCTCATCTTGTGTTTACAAGTGTTCCCCACTTCGTAGACCAAAGAAAACGACATACAAAGAGGGTGAGAGGGGCAAACCTGGTTGATGCAAAGAACGCCATTCAAGGAGAAGGGGAGACCAGTGGGAAAGGGAAATGGAAAGGGAAAGTGAAGGGAAATGGAAGTAAAAATCATAGAATATTTACTATGGAGGGTATTTTAGATATTTCACATGTAATCCTACTTCTCATTCCACAATCTCACATAGCACATTGGTTTTGTCAATCACTTGTAGAGGGGATTATCCCCTTCAAAACATACGGGCCGATGAATTTAAAAACAACAAAAATTTTATGCCAAAAAGTTACCTAAACCAAAGATATGTGGGATCCATTCACAATTTTAATCCAATCCTCCCAAATTCTTTGATCCAAACACCACCCAAGTATTTAGAGGATGTATAGTCATTTTACGTAGGTACTTAGATGAAAAAAGAGAGAAATTTTGGGGGGTAAATTGCAAATGCAAGTTATCGAATCTCATGCCTCTCGCATGCAAAGTGAGCACTTTACCGTTTGAGCGACATCCCCATTCCTAATAATGTGCATATATATATATATATATATATATATATATACCTCTCGGCCGACCATTATATGCATTCACCGGTTATTTCTTGAAGACACAGAGTAATAAAAAAAATAATTAATTAAAAAATTCAATATAAATAAAAAGACACTCAAATTTAACTCGTAAAACAAAAATTAAAAAAAGTTACAATTTATAACAAAAACTCAAATATTTAATTATATATATAAAAAAATTAGAAATAACTTCTCAAGTTTGAAGACATTTTGTAATATCAAAAATTGAATATTAGCCGTACAATATTAGCCGTATATGTGTGAATTGTTGAGAATGTCCGATATTGGGAGCCGTGTAATAAAAAAAATTGTGTTTTTTTTTCCTTCTAATGCCCTTTCTAGTTCCCCCCAACCGCCACACATCATCCAGGTTGTTAAATACTGTTGGCCTTGCTGAGGAAGTTGAACCCATTACCCTTCTCCCTCTCCCTCTCCCCCTCCCTATCCCTCTCCGGCTCTCCCTATGTCTCCTTATTTTCTCTCTCCAAAACCCACATTCTCTGTTACTAATTATAGCCCTCTTTTCCCCATTTTTCACGACCCATTATCCATTCATGGCGCTTCAACTTTTAGACTCCATCTCCGAGCTCATTCCTGACCAACCAATGGGGGTTCACAGCTAAATAAACTCATTTCAGTTACGTCTTCCATTTTTGGTCTTACCGGCCGTGATGGGGAGGACTCCGGCCCACTCATCGCCGGAATCGAACCTCGAGATCAAAATCCAGTCCCGGCTAAGCGACCCTCACCCATTGGGCCCACAACCACCGCGGTCCCGGCATCATCATCATCATCCGCCACCGCGAGACTTCCACCTCTTCAAGAAATGGTTCCCTTGGTTGGTCCCAACAATTGTGGTGGTCAACATTGGTTTATTTGTTATGGCAATGTATATCAATGATTGCCCTCGTACCTCCCAGAGCTGCCTCGGTGCTCATATATTGGGCCGGTTTGCGTTTCAGAACACCACCGAGAACCCCCTCCTTGGTCCTTCAGCAGCCACGTGAGTCCCCCTTGGTACTTTTGCTTATTGGACTTGTTAGTTTACCCTGATAAGAGCCGATAAAAGGAAAAATTATGGTTTTTTTCCCCAATTTTTTGGCCGTGGATTGTAGATTCATGTCTGATTATATGTTCGAATCCAGTATTACAATAATTTAGCGTAATGTGTGATTATAATTGAATGTTGACAAAGCATTGGTTGTTTTTTAGAATGTGTTTCTGGTTCTGAGTCTTGTTCTTCAAATAATACAGAATGGTTGTTCAGCGAAGTTCAGTTGAATTCTCGTAAAGTTATCAATAGAATAGAATGTGGATTGTACTAAAAATGATAAAGTTCAGCTTACAATCTGATAATTTGTTGATGGTTGGATGACATATAGACTTATAATTCTTGGAAAACACATGGATTCTTAATAAAATTGGATGTCCCAGTGGATGGATTAAAATTCCTTGCACGTTTAAACAAAATACAACACGCATGAGCTGATGACTAATTATGAAGCTGTGAACTTCGGTTTACAGGTCCCTGCCGTAGTTCTAGAAGTGAATGATTATTTAACATGATTTGTCTGTTTGTGCATAATCAGGCTACTGAAAATTGGGGCTCTACAAGCAGAGAAAGTGGTCAAAGGACACCAAGCATGGCGCCTAGTCACTTGTATGTGGTTACATGCGGGGGTGTTCCATGTTCTTGCCAATATGTTGAGTCTGCTATTTGTTGGCATTCGACTCGAAAAGGAGTTTGGATTTGGTATGTGTTTTAGCATTTGACCTTACTATGCAATGGCTATGCTTTTGTAGTCATTCTAGTTGCAAAATTATGCTAGTGCTAATCTGCACCTTGCAAGTTAAGTACTTTTTAAGAGACGTATATATGCCACAGCATCATTAATTTGGACCACAAGAGGGCAATTACATTGTTCTTTTGACTTTTAATGACTGAATGTACAATAAACTCAATTTCAAATTCTGGATTGATAAAAGCACTCGAGGTCTATTTGCTGTCTTATATGCTTATTCTATATCCTGGAATTGGATTTCTTTCACGAATTCTAAAATTTATTCATTGGAGTCGGTGAATAAATATGCTTGTTCTCTGTTCTCATTGTGTATAAATTTGAATTTGGAGTGGTTTTTATGGAGGCTAATTTAAGGTAATTGGAAGTCATTACAATTGAGATACTTCAATTGCTTTTCTCCCCCAGTTGTAAATGTAACTCATGAGTGCTCATATAATCTATTTCACTGTGTCAATTAATTGTATAAGCTTGCCACTCAACAGCAAATAAAAAAGCAATTCTACATTAAGCAAGTCATAATTTTAATGCATGTGTACTTACTAACATGAGCGAAGATATATAATTAGTTATCGAAGGTTTGAGTGAATATGATATTCTACATGTATCATTATATGCAAGAGAAAGACTTTTCCATTGCCAAGTTGTTTTTGCAAGATAATGAAGGCTGATACAAAGAAATGTAGTATAGTAAGGATCAAAAGCTCCCTCAGAAAACCAGTTAATTGCACTTCCCCATGGCTGTTTTTTCCCCTCAGAAAAAGTATCAGCAAGTAATTTCTTTTTAAATTTTGTTACAAGTCTGAAATACTGAACTCTTTGAGACGTGACCCCAAAAAAAAAAAAAAACTCTTTTGAGACCAAAAAACGATACTGAACTATTTCAGTGTTCTAATATTATTTGTGGCTATGGTTATTCAGTAAGGTAAAATGTGAGGCTTAACAATTCTCTATTAGATCCTATTGGGTTGTCAAGAATTATTGAGTTTATCAATGGACCTATTTTTCTTTTTTCAATGAAAACATATATTGTGCACTTTTAAGTAGAATAAATTCTGGAATGTAACAGTGAAGAGAGATGAAGTCCGAAAATGTTTGCTGAGAGGGCAATAAGTATATATAGAATTTTCATTATGCAGCACTAATAACCCATTGCGGGACTTTGGGAGACAGGATTCCTTTTTATAAATTTAACACACTGAAGGGGCTTTCTTAATGTATACCTTTTTTTCTTGGGGGTTGGGGGCGCAGGGGAGGACTCATGTCCCCATTCCCTTCCATAGCTTTGTCTATAAAGGCGACTACATGAATTTACTCACTGCTTTATCTTGGGGATATGTGAACGAATATTAATTTCACTGATGCAAAACCATGGAACACTATGTTTTCTTTTCGAACCACTAAACAAATCCATGGGTTCTAGCACTAGTGAAAGGGAGATGCAGGTTGTCTTGGACAGGTTTTGGGTACATCATGTTCAAGATAGTGTTTTCAGAAAGAAAAAAAAATCAGCTTTTATGGAACAAACTTTTCCAGAAACATATTTCTCTGTACGAAAGCAACACACATTTTTGTCATTTTACTCCTAGTTTGGGGTGGTATAACCTGCAACCAAAGTCATCCTAAGAAGTGAAAATGTTCTAGAACAGACCTTTATTTTATTTTATTTTTTTTTTTGTGTACCCAAAATGCTAAAAACCATCTGGGAAAGATAGTTTCACAATCTTGTACTTCCACAGTGAGGATCGGGTTGCTGTATGTTATGTCTGGAATTGGTGGGAGTCTGTTGTCCTCTTTTTTTGTTCGAACAACTATCTCTGTTGGTGCCTCTGGTGCACTATTTGGTTTGCTTGGGGGAATGCTATCCGAACTACTTACAAATTGGACGATATATGCCAATAAGGTATTTGAGAACTAATTTTTTCTCGTTTAACTGACCTGCCATTCAAACATTTATTTTGTGATGGAATATATGTGATTACCTTAAAAAATTTTCCTTTTGCTTTCTATTATCAGTTGGCTGCATTGTTGACTCTCCTTCTCATCATCTTGATTAATTTAGCCGTGGGAATCCTCCCTCATGTAGACAACTTTGCACATCTTGGTGGATTTGCCTCCGGTTTTCTTCTTGGATTTGTTCTTTTGGTCCGCCCCCATTTTGGATGGGTCAACCAAAGAAATGCTCCTCCTGGTTACTTTGGAACTTCAACTAAATCCAAGTACAAGATATATCAGTACATATTGTTGGGTCTCTCTCTGATACTTCTAATCATTGGGTAAGTTTTGGCATCCTTATACAATTTTTAATCCAAGTGACATCTAATTATTGCTTTCGAAAACTTAAAGGCAACTCTTATCTTTTTCATCAGTGGCTACATTGAATCCATGCTCTCAATGTCCTGAAAGTCATTGGACCTCATACCAGCTCTTCCATCTCATACAATTTTTTGTGGCTTAATATAAGCGGATGTTTCTCTCAAAGATTCAATCATCTCTGTAGAGGTGATTGCAATCAAAGCCTTTTTAAGTAGGATGTAAATAAAAGAAACGAAATAATAGACGGGGCTAAATGGAGGGCAGAATTATACATTGGAATAGATTCTTTTCGTCATTGTGTACCTCCGTGTGACACTTTCAACCCATGCCCACCAGCTGCTCCACTTAAAAACTTTCCTCCATTTATGCAGAGGATTTTTATGCCCCATGTGCATTTTGTTGAAATACTTTTTCTCTTTTCCAACAACTTAATACTGGGTTGATGAGGCTGGGGCTAGGCCATTAGTCAGTGCAAGCAGAGATGATATTTTAGCCCATTTTGTTCTATGTATCCACATCTCTGGCAAATGATTTGGCTTCAGGAAGATTTACAAATATCCTTTCCTTTTGACAACATGAGAGAATGGCAAAAAAAATAATACATTACCAGAACATCATGATGCCTTCTAGGGAAAAATCCACTCAAGTTAACAAAAGGTTGGAAAGGGAGAGACAGGGAGGAGGCACTCCATTTATCACCACGAAGGAGAGGTCACATAATGGAGTTTGTCCTTTTTTCTGACTGATTTTTACATTAGGATGATAGTTTGATTGTATTACAAATGGGAGGTGGCTGTTTATCATTGACGTATCTGAACTACAAGAGATGAATTTGACATTCATAGGCACTGTAATGGACTAAAAAATGCAGCAAGTATCCAACTTAACAAACTGCTGTAAAGATGGTTCAAGCTGCTTGTCCCAAGCATTGGAAACTCATTTTACATAAATTGTCGACACAATTAGTATAGTTGCCCATTTGTACGAACTCATTTATTTCATGGTTTTATAGTGTTGGCATAATTAACTCCAGGGAATTCTGACATGAAATTTGCAGATTTACGTTTGGACTGGTTTTGCTCCTCCGAGGGGTTGATGGGAATGAGCACTGCTCTTGGTGTCATTACTTGAGCTGTGTCCCTACCCCTCTATGGAATTGTGATAAGCAATGCACGGTAATGGATGCTGCTACTTTGTTTCTTTCCAAAGCTTTTTCATCGTTGTTATTGTTTATTTAACTTTTGTTCGATGTTATCTGATTCCATTTATTTTTTTGTTGAACGAAACACTCAAATATAACTAGCAACCACACAAGAAGACTCCCCCATTGTATCTTTATGGGCCACTTTGACAAAAACTGGGGGGAATTTCTCTTCCTATCGTGACATCTCATTTAAGATGAAGACCATTCTTGACAAGCCAATCTGCTACTTCATAACTTTTTAAGGGTCATCTTATAATGATGGAGTAGCTATTGTTTGTGCCCCTCAAATCTAAGTAGTTGACTAACTGGGACTTTTCCTTGTAATATGCTAATTATGCTCGAGTGAAGCATTCAAAACTTCTCACCCTTGTCAAAGTAAACCAGCTCTAATGTTTTGATTAGAAGGTGACAGAAGGAAACAAATTGCATTAAAAAGCAAAGAATAAGGCTTAAAACCTTAATATTTTTCTTTTATTCTCAGCAAAGAATAAGACTTCTTCAGCCAGACTGTTACTCAAAAAAGACTTTAAAAAGCAAACTGAGATCACATTCATTGTACTCCTATCTTGTGATTCCATTGCTACACAATAAGCGAAACATGTGAACTGAATAATATAGCGCCATCTTCTCCGGATTGATTGTAGAGAGAGAAAAGAAAGATGATTTCTTCTTTTAAAGCAAATCTATAATGTGGATTAATAACGAGGGTTGTATGTAGAGATGGCATGCTGAAACACAAATATTTTTGCTGGATATGATTTGCATGGAAAAATAGAAAGCTTGATATGATATTTCGTACTAATCTTGTTTTTTTCTGTGCATGTTGTTGTATGATGCTGTCACAGTCCATTCAGTATGGAAACCAGCTAAAATTGACATGCCTACAGAACCACAAAAGCATGAACTATGTATTGGCAAACGGAAACAACACCAGTGAGATTCAGCAGCTGTGTTCTGACCTGTGCAATTGATTATATATATATATATATGCATACACGAGAACTCATGGACCATTTGAGACAAGGCTGTTCAACAACTTGGTGTATCTAATTTATTTCTGAAGTTTTAGAGAATATTATGCAGTTAAAAAGGTTTTTGTTGGCATTACTTGTAATGGTATGTTTTAGGAATTACTGACATTCCAACGGTGGCCAATAGGAATAAAAAGCTTCAAAAAGGGTTTTTTTTTTCCCTCACCTTTTTGTGGTTTAAGGTAATGATATTTTAGCGGTCTATAAATTAAAAATGTTGTGTTTAACGTAACTTCTCAAAGTAAAAGTCCATTTTAAGGATGAACTTTATAAAATAAACTTTTATAAATAGGGGCGGCGCCAGAATTTTGCCTCAGTGGGGCAACTTAAATTCTTAAATTTCAAAATATAATTGTAACATTGTTTTCATTAAAATATGTATTATTGATAAATTGTTTATAAGTATAGTTACATCAAAAGAATGTCATTTAAAAACGCAACTCATGTATATGAGTGATTTACAAAAAAAAGCAACAAAAAAGCTTCACATCAAAAGTATCATTTAGTATTCGAGATTCTGTACAAAAGGAGCTCCCAACTCTCGAATATCTAATAAATCCTTATAATTGTTCTCGACAAGTTTTCATATTTTAGAATCGTTGCATAATCATTTCATTTTCAATGATACTTGAAACATTTTTCCTCAATATATGCAACTAAGCAATCATTTATCCATTGATCTCCCATTCGATTGTGCAATCAATTCTTTACTATGTTCATTGCTGAAAAATGCTCTTTCGACGGTAATAGTGACAACTAGTAAGATAAATACTAGTTTGATGAGCAAATATACCAACGGATATACTATATTCTTTTTGGTCTCAACTAATTTCTCTGTAAGCCCACCAATTTCTTTAACTTCTGAAAATTCATTGAAACGCATATCTAGTATATAAGTTTCAAGTTGATTATCAAGTTTGAAGAGCTCCATTGGAAAAAATTTTGAAGGATAAAATTGAGCAAGACAAAATAACTTCTCTTTATTGAATGTAGAGAAAGAACCCATTGGATTTAGGCATGCCACACAAAAGAAGTAGCTCAGTGTTCACCTCAGTAAAACGATCGCTAAATTCTTGAAGTTGCATATCTAACATCATAGAAAATAATTCAACATGATAACGGTGTAAATTAGTGACTTTTTCACCACGCCATGACCTTCCTCGAGCCATGTATATCTTATCCATATTCGGAATAATAATATCATATTTTTCACAAAAAGAAGAGACATCGGCGACTAAAGCATCACATCCATCATCCTTCATTATTTTGTAGACATTGTTTAGATACTATAACTAAACTCATAGCATTTACAATATCATGATATTTTATTTGTAATATTTGTAATAGTTCATTTGTAATTTCCAATACACCTTTCATCAAATGTAAATTGAATACGAAATCAAAAGATTAAACTGAATCCAATAAAACACATGTTTCACCTTTTTGCTCAAAGTTGTACCATTCTCTACAATAATCTCAAGCACATCAACAACAGAGGGGAACAAAACAATCACATTTATGAGAGTGTCATAATGTGAGCCCCAACGTGTATCACCGGCCCTTTGAAGACTAATTTCTTGATGCAAACTCCGCCCACTTGATAACTCTCAATTGTTTAGTGCTTGAATAACCTTACTAGCTTGCTTCTCTCTTAAAATATCTCTTCATTTGCATGAAACTCCAACAACATTCAATAAATTAGCAACAATATTGAAAATCAATGCAATTTGATTTTGATTTTTCGTAATAGACACAAGAGTGAGTTGAAATTGATGAGCAAAATAATGAACATAAAAAACAGATACATACTCTTTTATGATGAGACTTTTGAGATCATTGAATTCTCCCCTCATATTGCTGGCTCCATCATAATTTTATCCACGTAATCTTGATAGGCTTAATCCATACTTTGAGAACAATGATTCAATCGCCGCTTTAAATGATAAAGCATTTGTATTAGTAACATGGACTATGCTAAGAAAATGCTTAGTGATGCATCCCTTTTTATCCACATAGCGCAATAGAACTGTCATTTGCTCTTTAACTAAAATATTAAAATATTACGAGATTCATCTACTAAAATGGAAAATAAATCATCTCCAAGATCATTGATTGTTGCGCATGTGGTTTCATTTGTGATAACGTGGGCAATATCCTTTTGAATGTCTGGCACTATCACTTTAAGATTCTTTGAAGCATTTTTTAAAACAACGTTGTTAATGGTTTCATTGTGCTCAGCAAGAAATCGAAGAAGTTCAAGAAAATTGCCTTGATTTTTTGAATCCTCAGACTCATCATGACCACGAAATACTAACCCTTGATGTAAGAGGAATCAAACACAATCAATTGCTGCAGTTAAACGAACTTGATAATCCTTTCGAGCTTGATTTGATTGCTTAGAATAAGCAACTTTAATATGTTGCTTCTAATTCCTTAGATTTTAGCACTTTCTCTAATTCTTATTATGAGCACTATTTGGACCCCTAACATGAATTTGAAATCTTTCTTTCTTCTTCTAGTTACGGAATCCCTCTATAACAAAAGAGTCACCACCGTTTTGCTTTCCCATATTACTTCCCGTTAGATAGCAATATAAGCAATAAGCGACATCTTTTTTAATGCTATACTTCAACCAACTACCAAACTCGTTGAACCAAGATGGACTAAAGCGACGACATAGCTTGCCGAATTTCATTTGTGGAAACTTATGTTCATGAGGTTGACATGGGCCTTTTTGTAGATGATAATCCGAAATTCTAATTATTAGCCCAGGATCTGTAGGAAGATTTTTTAAGTTAACTCATTCATGACTTTGCTTAGAACAATGTCATATATCACCACCACAATCATCTATTTCTTGACTAGGAGGCGGTTGTTTCAATGCTGATTTTCTTATAAGAAACCTATCCATTGTTGGTTCATCATTAAGTTCGTCACTTTAAGTTGAGTGGTTTAAAACAACTGTCACTTTAAGATTCTTTGGGGCATTTTTTAAAACAACATTGTTGATGGTTTCATTGTGCTCAACAAGAAATCGTAGAAGTTCAGGAAAATTGCCTTGATTTTTTGAATCCTCAAACTTATCATAACCACGAAATACCAACCCTTGATGTAAAAGGAATCAAACACAATCAATTGTTGCAGTTAAACGAACTCGATAATCCTTTTGAACTTGATTTGATTGTTTAGAATAAGCAACTTCAATATGTTGCTTCTAATTCATTAGATTTTAGAACTTTCTCTAATTCTTATTATGAGCACTATTTGGACCCCTAACATGAATTTGAAATCTTTCTTTCTTCTTCCAGTTATAGAATCCCTCTATAACAAAAGAGTCACCACCATTTTGCTCTCCCATATCACTTCTCATTAGATAGCAACATAAGCAATAAGCGACATCTTTTTTAATACTATACTTCAACCAACTACCAAACTCGTTGAACCAAGATGGACTAAAGCGATGACATAGCTTGTCGAATTTCATTTAGGGAAACTTATGTTCATGAGGTTGACATGGGCCTTTTTGTAGATATGCTCTCCGAATTTCATCCTAGTCATTAGGATGATAATCCGAAATTTTAATTATTAGCCCAGGATCTGTAGGAAGATTTTTTAAGTTAACTCATTCACGACTTTGCTTAAAACAATGTCATATGTCACCACCACAATCATCTATTTCTTGACTAGGAGGGGGTTGTTTCAATGCTGATTTTCTTATAAGAAATCTATCCATTGTTGGTTGAAATATAAATTTGTCTAATTACATTCAAGTTTAAGAGTTCATCATAAAGTTCGTAACAAATGAGATAATGGACTACACATAATCAAAATATAATTCATAAATCCAAAATATAATTCAAACTAGAATTTCAAGAAATCAATTAAAACAATTTAATCATAGGGAAGAAAAATAGCACTAACCAAGAATCTCAAATAGCCAATCTGAATAGGAGCTTCAACAAAAATCCAAAAAAATTGAGTGGTGACACAAGACGAAATAAAGAAAACCTACATAAGTTCATAAATAATGCACCAAACAACCATCAATTCTACGGGAACTAAACTAATTTTCGAATATAAAAAATCTGATTTTAGATTAGTGGTAATATTACTATAAAAAAATCTGGTTAATGGATTACCTCTCCTTAGCTTTAACATAATCTTCTAGAGTTTCTTCAAAATTTGATTTACACAACGATTGAATCCTGTAAGTTGATTCGTTGATGAATAGACTAAAAGAACTAACAAAGAAATTAAAGAAAAGAAAGAAGAGCAGCTGGACTGGAACTCTAGAAGTTGGATTGACGAAGAAGATGAAGATGACTTACAGGAAAAAAAAAAACAGGTGTGAAAACTGAGGAGTTGTCAAAAGTTTACTTTTAAGGTTTGAAAATTATATTAATATACCCTATATTTTAAGAAAATTTATGTGGGGACAAGTTTAAAAAATTCTTAAAATTTTTAAAATTACACTTAGGTCCCAATTTTTTTTAAAATTTCAATGGGGACCACTATCCTCATACCAAATCCGCCCCTGTTTACAAATGGACTTTATGAAATCTTTGAATATTTGGTAAAAATGTATTTTGGAAGCGCTTCTAAACCAAAAAGTACATCTAGATGTACCATTGATGTTTGGTGGCAACATTTAAGAAGTGTGGTGACTACTTATATATGACAGGAGTGAATAGTTATTTATATACGATAGGTTAAGTAAATTGTTCATATTGTAGGGTTAGAATAGAGATTGACTTTTAAAAAGAGAGGATAATGTTGGGATTTCATTCTAATATTTTAATGATGGAAAACAACTTCACGAGAAGTAAAAAATGGACAGTTTTGAGAAGCTTCCTCAACGAGGTTATGTAGAATGAGCGTCTTCTAGATATACTTTTTAAGAAATTCATTTTGTTTTATGCACCAAACAATCAACGCATGTGTAGAAGTGGTTGACTCTGCAGAAAGCACATCCTTGTTGTCCGCCAAGCAAGCCTGTATATTTTTATCTCACATTTTGAAGAACGAAAGGATTGCCATTAAAATTAACTTGCAAAAGTTCAAAAGTTTTATATATATATATATATATATATATATATATATATATATATATATATATATATATACACACATATATATATTAAAGTAAACTACACAAATGATCCTTCAACTATGACACTTGTGTCAATTTAATTCTTGAACTAAGTTTTCATGCCAATTGAACCCCTAAACTTAAAAATTTTAGCAAGTAAACCCTTAATCTAATTTTTATATCAATTGAGCCCTTAAACTCTAAAGTTTTAACAATTAAACCTTTCTATCAGCAACCGTTTGATTTTTGAACGAAATGTCTCACATCCTCACCACATAAACAATATATTAGGGGTGTTTTAGACTATTCGTTTGAATCATATTAGACGAAAAGCCTCATTCCTTACACCCATCAACCGAAACCCAAAACTCAAATCTCTTTTATACACATTAAATGAAGAAGATCAACAAACTCTTCGATGTGGTGTAGAAAATGTATTACATAAATGTAGGTTCTTTGTCTGATAGGTTTTGAATGAACAGTCTAAAACATCCCTAATCTATGTCTATGTGGTGAGTACGTGACACATTATGTCAAAAAACTTAACGGCTTCTGATAGAAGAGCTTAATTATTAAAATTTTAGAGTTTAGGGGTTTAATTAATATGAAAATTAATTTAAGAGCTTAATTGTTAAAATTTTAGAGTTTAAAGACTCAATTAACATAAAAATTAATAGGCAAAATCCAGTTTATCCCCTTGTGATTTAGGTGTTTTGCACATGAACCCCCTTTGGAAATCAACACATTATCCTCTTGTGCTTTTGGACTAAAATGCTACCGTTAGTTTTTCTGTTAGATTAAACTATCTGTGACACACACGCGCCTAAAAGGAGATTTGACATAACAAAAAATTTTCCCTCCAAAAATAGACACTATAAAAGTACAATAATACCCTTCTTCAATCTTCATCTTCCTGAACAGTTGACTATCATATTTTTTTCTCAAACAATTCACTCCAAGCACCGTCTCCTTATCAAAATTTTAATAACAAAATTTTAAAAATTCAAATTAGGTGGATGATTCTTAACTATGCACGGCTCAAGTGAAATTCATCTTACCACTCAAACCATAGGAATAACTAATGACTAGAGGTTCAATAATCATGGTGGGATCTTCTTTATGTGCAGGAAGGGATGTGGCTCTGATGTTGTCGTTGTTCGCAGCGAGGAGAGCTTGGGAAGAGGGGGTTTGAGCAGAGAGGAGAGGGCAAGGGAGGAAGGGAGGGGATGGGATGAAGATATACCTAGGAGGGCTATTTGGTGGTGGGTTGCCAATAGTAGCAAAAGGGTGGTGAGAGAAAGGGGCAATGAGGTTATTACTTAGAGAAAGAGAGAGGGGGTTGCTGATGGAGAGAGATGATGAAGAAGAGAGAGAGGGGGCAGTGACATTGTTGAGCCAGAGAGAAAGAGTGAGGGAGAGGCAACAAGATGTATAGTGAGAGAAAATTAAAACCCTTGTTTAAGTTTGAAACTTGAATTTTTTGGTATTCAAAATTTCGAGTTTCGGAGGTGAAGGGGGGCCTAATCCACCATTTTTAGGGTCAAGGAATCTATTTTTGAAGTTAGAATCGAGAAAGAATGAGGTTTGGTAGATGAAAAATTGAATTAAAAATCATGACAATTTTTGAAAATGATGAACCCGTCACTTTGGAGCTCGATTTCCACTTACCTTGTGCAAGATTTGGACAAACTAAATACATGGTTGGAAAGAGGGTAGAAAAAATTTAAATTTAGGCATTTGAATCACCTAAAAAGGTTGAAAAACGAGGGAGAAATTAAAGGCCAAAGTTGACCTAAATATTGAAAAAAATCTGGTATGTACATAACTTGTTAAAATGAGTTTATGATCACCTTTGAGCTTAAATTCGTGGGTCATGGGGGCTACTTAAGGAAACAAGTCTGTGGGGTTTTAAAACTAGGTTGAGAGTGGAGGATATTGACATTGGTTTTAGGAAGTTTGGTATTTTGTGGAGAGAGAAAAACTTGTAAAGTTGTGTGGTGGTTGATTGATTTTTTAGAAAATTAGGTTACAGTTGAAAGGGAGGGAGAAGATGATGGATAGTTGAGGGTACTAAAGTCATTTTACCACTTCTGTTTACGGTGTTAATTATGCATATCGGTCCAAAAGCATAAGAGGGTAATGTATTGATTTTCAAATCATAGGAGAGTCATGTGCAAAATACCCAAACCACAAGGGTAAACTGAATTTTATCCAAAATTAATTTAATTACTTAATTGATACAAGTGTTATAGTTTAATGATCAAACATTTGTATAGTTTACTTTTATATATATATATATATATATATATATATATATATATATATATATATCTCTTTTTGTAATTTTTTTTTCTTTTTTCGAAAGATACCTCTTCTTTCAGTTGTGCGTAAACAAATTCATCTTACTTTTTGTATATAAGCACATCTTAGTGACTCATTCCTTCTTCTCTCTCTATTTTTTCAAATTATAAAATACTTCCATAAAAAAAAGAATTAATTATGAAATAACCCATTAAATTATGGATCTCATTTCGATCAACTCCCACGAGTTTTAATTTCAACTATTTGATCCTTATATGGTAAACATCACTTCAATTAACACGTGCAATCAAATTTCCAACCACTAAATGTGACAAAAAGTAATCATGTGAACTAACGAAAAATTCAAAAGACAAAATTGCCCTTATTCTCTCATGTTTATCTTGGACTTAAAATTTTATTTGCATTAAAAAATTTAAAAGCTAATAAGAAATCCATTTTATCCCAACCAACAACCCTTGAGCCTTCACACGCCCATTTGGCCCTGATCTTATTTCCCCCATTCCTTCCTACAAAACCAATATACTCCCTCTAGAGAAACCCCCCGACTACTCGTCCCCAATGATCCTATCATCTCGCACGATATGTTCTCTCCCATTGGTAACTCATCCTAGTGAACCCCTCATCTCTTTTGTGAACCACCTCCCACCTAACCCCCATTGCTGTCGATAGAGGAAAAGTTATACGAAGAGAGTGAGAGAGAAATGCATCCACATACCACCGTTTCCATTGGGAAATTCCCTCCTCACTCTAATTGAAAGAAGATCTTATCAAAACCCTAATGGCAGCGATTGGTAGCATTGGGGTTCCTGGCCCAGAGATGTGGGCAAAGGGGGGGGGGGAATGAAAATGGAGTATTAATCAAGGTTAAGGGTTAATTAGTAATTTTGAATTTTTTGTTCAATTCATTAGTTCATTTAGTCCAATCTGGGAGGGAGAAAATTGTTAAAATTAAAATGTTAAGGAACCTGATTGAACGGAGATACATAATTCAAGTGGCAATTTTGTAATTAAGCCCATAGCTTAAAAATCAAGAGTAAAAAACAAAAAACCCTGATGGACTAAGCCTCAATTTCACTTTACTCCTTTTACTTTTACGGATTCCCTCTAACTTTGAAAAAAATTGCAAGTTTAATAGTTCAATATGTCCTAACCCTTTGTTAATTTTTTGTAACTTATTGCTATGCCTAGTATTGCAACTTATTTCTGGCTGCTTCGTGTAACTAGAGGGTTATGTGACTGCTTTTTGTAATGAACTATTTTGATTTTGTGACATGGAAAACAACAACAAACTTCATAATTGATATTATTCATATTCTCATACAATTACTTGTTCATATTATGAATAAAGTTCATGTACAACATTAATAACCCAAATCCCACACAGCTTCCAAACAACGCACATCGATACAATCTAAGTCTTGTGACTAATTTTTTATGATCCATTTCAGGTCGCTTAATCTTATTCCCCGTCTTGGGTACCAAGTCTCTACTCCTTTGGCACGTCGGGGTCAATATACTCCAAGAATCCACAAGGGGGCCTAATCGGAATGAGATAAATTTTTAATGACTACTAGTAATTTTATACAATTATAAAACTAAATTTCAATACTAAATTGATACCCCATAGAGTACACATCGGTAAAACCTCCTCCCCACATTGCCATCTGTCTATGATGTTTTCACAGGAGGCTTCATTCCACAATAACATTCTTTAACAGCAGCATTGAATAGTGTCCCCAACTGGATGAATTTAAAAATTGAGATTATGCATTTACCTATGGGGTCCACTTGAATCCTAACAGTGAAAATACAGTGGGCATGAAACATGGCCCACTCCAATCCAACGGCCACTCTTTCCTCATCGTCACATTTATCTCATTAGGGCTTGATTTTATTTTTTATTTTTTTATTTTTTTATTTTGTGGTTTTTGAAGCACTCTTGCCAATTTCGGGACTTCCTTTTTCGAATCCTTTGCAGATCTCTCTCTCTCTCTCGAAGCCCTCTCCCTGTGAATCACCGAGCTCAACTCTCTACTCTGTTCATCTCGCTCCTTAACAGGAGGTGAGCAATCTCTCTCTCTCTCTCTATGTTCGATCATGATATATCTCGCATCTTTTTTATATTCAAATTGTGTGTTCAAATGTTTCATACTGATAAGTATTTTCATCAATGGTTTCGGAACTGGTTTAAATTAATCTGTTAGGTTTTCTTTATTTTTTGTTTTTTTTTTATCAAGAAAGTGAAAACAAGAATTGTAAGTTTAAATGCACTGTTTGGACGGGTTTAAAGTTCAAAATTACTTGCCTGCTCAGCTGTGTTAGATGTAGTCTGGTTTTGTTTCGTCATTCATCGGTTGGAATTCAATTATCAATTACAAACATTTCTCAGGAGCCAGACGGAGGGCTAGGGTTTTTTTTTTCTTGTTCGGAATTTCTTGTGTTGCGCACACACACATTTTTATGTGTGTAAACACATCCATATTATCGCAGGTCATTTATGCCATCCCGATTTTCCTCCTTGTATTGTGATTTTTGGAATATTTGACAGTTAAGAATTTCAGAGATACTTTTTTCATGAATCCCCATTCATTTTGATGTTTTTTCCCTGAAATTTTATCTTATCCCACCTTACCACTAATAAACAATTTGAGTACATTCCCATGCCATGCTTGGTTCACTCAAAATTTTGATTACCCTGATATTCTTACTTTATTGGATGTACTGGTCTTCCCTTCTTTTTTCTGTTGCCAATATTAGTATTAGTGTCCAGTTACTTGTTGTCCTCTTCCCCCAATCTGTTTTTCTGTGTATTTTCCATTGCCGGACATATTTTGTTAACAATTGGGGTGGGCCACTTAAACCGGTAGCACTGCATTTATAACACTTTTCTGAGTTATTGTTTTTTAAATATTTTTTTTGTTCACTAGACTTACTCTGTGGTTGTATAGATCAATGATGGTGAATGCAAAAGGTTTGGATGATGCTTCTACCCCTAATTCAGGTCCCCTGAATAATGGTGGAGATAAATCTGCTCTAACTGAAACAATTGCATCCAGTCAAGTAAAGTTGAATGTAGCCGAAACTGTTGTTTCTGAATATGCAAATAAGATGAAAAATACGGTGGAGGAAGTGATGCATGAAGAAAATGAGATACTCATTTTGAGGAATGAGGAGAATGCAGTGGAAGAAGGAATTAATGGAGAAAATATGATGTTAGAAAAAGAAAAAGAAGAAGAATACGATGAAGAAGAGGATGAAGATTATGCAATGGAAGAAGAAAATGATGATACAGATGCAACGGATGAAGAAGAAGAAGAAGAAGAACAAGAAGAAGAAGGAGAACAAAAAGAGCAGGAAGAGGACGAGGAAACAGGAGGAGGAGGAGGTGGAAATGCAGCAGAAGAAAAACAGAAAGATGAGAAAGTAGAACTAAAACCAAAGGAGAACGGCAAAATATCAAGGAAAAGGAGCAGAAGGAAGAAGGTGGCACAAGGAGGCTCTGAGACAATGGCGGCTAAAGGTGAAGATAAGCCAGGATCATCTGGCAAGAAAAAGGTCTCAAAGAAGGCCGAGAGCATGGGTTTGGTTTTCATGTGCAGTTCGAAGACAAAGAAGGACTGCTACCGCTACAAGGTTCTCGGGCTGCCCGCAAGCAAGAGAGATGTCGTACAGAAGGTTTATAAAGGGATGAGACTGTTTTTGTTTGATGTTGATCTGAGGTTGATGTATGGAATATATAAAGCTGCCGGACCAGGGGGTTCTAACATTGAACCCAAGGCTTTCAAGTCACAGTTTCCATCTCAGGTTAGTTTGCATATCAGTTGTGTGCTGTGATTTCCAATGATTTGTTAACTTGATTGCATGCTTTTGTATGTTATTAATGTTATGGGAATAAGATTTCATTTGCTTAAGTTTAGCATGTAGGTGATTGAGTCATCTGAAAGGCACTTGTAACTTGTTTATCAGAAAATGGAGAGACTTCTGAATCATATACATCCAGATCTGGTTTGATCTAGATATGAAGTTTTTGAATGAGATGTTAATTTTTTTATTCTTATTTTGTTTCTCCTCCTTTTAGTCTCAGGTATAGTGAATTGTAGGTTCAAATCTGATGGCATCCACTTTGTGTGACTGTTGAGAACGATTATGTCTGTATCCAATCTATCATTGCAATGCCTTAGATTAACGGGGACCAAATTGGGTAATTTGCCGATTTTTTTTTCTTTCTTCCCTTTTACTGCAGCCTTCCAAATAACAAAAAGCAAAGTAGAATTGGAGAATTAATATTTGGAAGACTTAGATCAAGCTATTATTAAATTTGTAGTATGTGATGGAAACCAGGAGTAGTAAGGTTTGGATATTTGCTCCACTCCAATTTCACTTGAGGAGAAAGACAGAGAGGAAGTGGTAAATAAGGGAGATAGTCCTTTTGCTAAGCTAGAATGGGTCAAATGACTTCTGATAAAGATTTATGGGGAAGACAATTTAATGAAGTCGCTTTAGTTATCATTAAAATGTGAAGAAATAACCAAGTACTATTTCATGAATTTTTTATATTCATATTCTTATTTACAATTATTGCTACCTCATATTATCCTCCAATATGCGAGTATTTGTATCAAGGAGCATCGGATGTTTGGAAGGACTCGTATAAAGTTTTCATTGACAATGTTGGATTTTTTACATATACTGTTGCATTTTTTGCTCTAATGTGAAAATATGATGAACAATAGTGACAAATATGAGACGAGCCAAACAATAACCAGGGGCGGAGCGAAAAAATCATTTCTAGGTGGGCACTTCAAAGAGCTTAATTTTTTTCTCAATCGGTAAAATTAAGAAGATATTTATGTTTATTTACATCATCTTTGATACTTAAAATTCATTAAATATAAATGGCAAAAAATTGCTATATATAGTGTATATAAAAAAAATAATAAAAATAAATAAAATTTCCTTTTGCAAAATAAAAATAATAATGAGACTAACAAATATATCACGTATTTTTTCTTATCCATTTTTTCTACTTGACTATTTTTTTTAAAGGTTTGAAAACTCAATGCTAGAATGTACATCATTAATATAACAACCAACTTAACAAAAAGTGTCAAGAGTTACCTAGTATTAGAATATTGTAATCGACTATCCGAACATCAAATAAAGGCTAACTGTATTATTGAATGATAACGTAGTTGCCAGAAGGTTGCACAGTTGTCGGAGGTAGTGCAATTACCAATCTCCCTCTGTCATTTTGGTCTAATGAGAAAAACCTCGTTAAACATCATAGTTATATTTGGCTTTTTTTCATCCAAATAATTTTGTAATTTTAAGTTGTGACTCTACTTTTCTTATACTCACAAAATCAATTCTATTTTATTATAGGATTATTCTACTTTTTATAAACCTGATAGTTTTTGTTAGAATTTTCAAAATGATCCAAATCTATTCAAAACTTATTTAGATGTGTCAATAACGTGTTTGAATCATGTTAAAAAATTCAGTCATTTAAGTAGTTATTTATTTTTGATTGATATGAAAATAAACAATATAGGGTGGGCATGATAAAAATGCTTCTTAAAAAATTCCTAAAATATATGTAGATAACTTTAGCATAAAAAGTTCGTGGGTGGGCATGTGCGTGCCTCCTAGCCCAAGATTGGCTCCCCCCAGTGGCAATAACTGTTCTGCTTGGCTCAGCCATGTTGTGGCATTTGCTATGTTGACCTTTGTTCGAAGTCTGCTCTAATTACATGCTTATAGATAGCTCAAGCTACTGACAGAAAAAAATAAACAATTGTTGTGTTTTTTTCTTTTTAGCAAAAACCTCTAAAGATACTCTACAAATAGTGTATTAGTTTTGTTTGATCACTATGGTAATTTGTGTTGCCTAATTAGGGGTGCCATTATGGCCTCATGCTCTATTAATGACATGTTTGCCTTTGCTCACCAGCTCTATTGCCCTCAGAACTATATGTCTTTGAAGGATTATCAACAATAGTTGATTAGTTGTGGAGATTTGGTGAAGAAAATCATTGATGTGTTGTAGGCTAAGGCATTGAATTTCTTGTTCAATGCTAGAGGTTGCTACATTGTATCAGGACTTGCTAACTCATGCAGCACAGTGTGTCAATTGTAAATTGATTGGGCTTAGGTTGGGTTCTCAGGCTCTGTTATATATTGTGTATGACTTGGCTACTTTTTTTTTTGATAGTAGACGAGTAGTATTATAAATATCTTGTTCAATGCTAGAGGTTGCTACATTGTATCGAGACTTGCTAACTCACGCATCACAATGTGTCAGTTGTAAATTGATTGGGCTTAGGTTGGTGATGTAGATCGTAATAAGGAAGAATTAGAGATGAGAAGGGAAGAAAAAGGAGATGAGAAAAAAAGAAAGAGATGAGAATAGAGAGAAAATTTGAGGAAGAAGGAATATCAAGATGCAATATCAATAATAAGTAATTAAAGTCTACCAAAACAAATACTATATCCCCTGTATATATAGGGAGAGCACAAACCCTAAAGGAACTCTAAAAGAAATAAATAGTTAAAATGACAAGTAAACCCTTAAAAGTTAAAAGAAAATACTTAAAAGGTAAATCCTAAATTACTCTCATGATTAATCTAAAATATTTATCCAATTTCTACATGATCCCCATCAGTTGGGTTCTCAGGCTCTGTTATATATTGTGTATGACTTGGCTACTTTTTTTTTTTTTTGATAGTAGACGAGTAGTATTATAAATATCTAATTCTCTAAGGCAAAAGTACAAAAGAGAACAAGGAGTCCTCAACAAGATACAAAAAGCAAAGAGAAAAAAAGAGGAGAGTAAATATCCAAAAAGCTAGAAAGAAAACTTAGTAGAAGTCTAGGGAAGTACAGTGAAATGATAAAATGTCGACCAGCATCTACGCTCTACGCACACTTGAGCTAAATGATCTAAGTGTGTGGCTTGACTACTACTAGGTTCCATTTGGCTACACCAAATTTATGGGCTTGGAGGAAAAATCCGTTCGGGCATGTTTGATCATATGATCTATATCTATACTACTAATAAAAATACATTAAAATGAAAAAATTTTGAATCTCTATTTTACCTTATAAAAGATTGCAAAGATCACTCTATTTTTTCACAATTAAATAACTAAATTACTATCATATCTTTATGTCTATAAATCTCTAAATTATCTATAACTTCTTTTTTAATTATTTAATTAGTTTTTATAAATGTTTTTGATTGATTATATTACCCTTAAAAAATATTCATCATTATATTTTCAATAAAGTGTTCAAAAAACCTTCAAAAACTTTATCAATCTAATATTCCTCATCTCATATGCAAAGATAACATTGTGCCTACATATGTGTATTTTTTTTTATCGAAAAGTTTAACTGATAAAAAATAATTGTATATATAGTTTTTCAAAATTAATTTATGTTACATCTGTATAATTCTTTAGTCATAATAAACTTTCTAAGTTGTACTAAATTTTTATGTAAAAATATATATTGTAGTGTATTTTTAAGTAAACTTAAGTTTTTTAGATTTTTAGTATGCTTGATAATATATATTACAGAGTAGTATATTAAATATTATCCTAATTGACCTAACTAATTCCTAATTAAAGTAAGGTTCCAATATAATTAGTATATTGATAATTACTTTTATTTTATTCAAGAAATTATGAGTGGGATCCTAATCAAATGAATTTCAAAAAAATTTATTCCTCAAACATCACTAAAAAATCAATCACAATCAAAAAATTCTAAAAAAATAGAACTTCAGCAATTTCTTTTTTTATCTTTTTTTTTAATAGTTAGAATAAAGAATTTTAAAAACATACAAAGTTTTCATAATCTTATAATAGAATGAGTAATAAAAAATCAAGTTTGGTAAATTTGAAATGATATATATATATATATATATATATATATATATATTAATTTTTGTATACGAAAATTATTCACATGCAACATACGTGGTGCCATTGCTAGTAGGATTAAATATTTATATTTTTTTTTGCATGCCATCTAAAACTACACGTGTTGTTTGGATAAGGAACATCAAAGAAATTAGATGGGATAGATTATAGTATTTTATGCCATTGTGCTCTTTATTTTCTTTCTCCAATTAATTTTGTATCTATTGATGGCTTCTTAGTTAATGGCCCTTGTAATTTATGAGTGGTTTCCAAAATGCAGTATGAATATGCTGGATAATTAATTCCATGGTCAGATTTTCAATGTGCTACTCTGTCATTCGTTTTCACGCTCCAAGAACCGATTCTGGTGTTTCATCTTTTGCAACACCATGATCGTTAGTATTTGTCACATTTTTCTGGTTTTGGCCAATAATTTAACGAAATAAAGCTTCCTAGCATTGACCTACCTTAACTCTTTACATCAGTATGACATTAATTTCATGAGATGTTCAAATGAACCAAGGAATATTTCTGATTCTTGAAACATTGGTTTTTTCATTTTCACATTTTCTAATATTTTAGAAGAGTAGTTATTGCACGTGAACCAATTCGAATTTGAATTTTTTATTATGATTTTTGTTTTAAATTCTATTGAACATATGTGTTTGCACATGTACAAACATTGAACCAAAAAAGAAAGGAAAGAAAATTACCTTTTTTGGACAAAATAAAAAATAACCAAATGATACAAATAAAATTCACCATCCATGCACATGCATCTATACAAAGTAAGTTTGTAATTGAGGTAAATGAAGTTAATTTCTTATATTGTGTTCCGATTATTATGATGTAATTGAGGTAAATGAAGTTAATTTCTTATATTGTGTTCCGATTATTCTGATGGTTTTGTTCATATTCTTATTCTATATATTTTGTTTGTAGTCATTGAACATCGAAGACAAATATGCAAGGATTTTTGTTTTTAGCTGTCGACTAAAGTTATGGCCACAAGATTTAAGAGATGAAAATATCTAACATTTAACTGAAATTTCTGCCATTTATTTGATGGATATGTCAAGTCTATTTAAGATATAACTCTAGACTTGAGAAATTTTATACTCTATGGTGTTGTAAACTCTTACCTCAGTTAATTTCAATCAAACTAATGTTTTTTTGTAGTTTTTATATTCCGTCAAGTCCACAAATGTTAACTATTTTTGCTTGATTTCAATAATGCATTACATAACCATAGGCGAATCAAATATTATTGGTATATCAAAAAAATTTTTTTGTCATTTTTTGCTTATTGGAAATACAAAGATCATCAAACAGTGAGCACTCAAAGCAATTTGCAATAATCTGAAGGCTACAAATTTTGTAATTTGACTAATTAAGGAATAAAAAGGAACTTACATCTTTGTAACTTAGGCCACAATCTTACTTTGTGCAAAAAATACTTGCAGTTTTCACTTCTATATTCTTCCCCAATCCATCCCCTATGTACAAGGAAGAGCTTACATAGAATAAGAAAAAGGGAGTGAAAAAAAAAATCCCCATAAGTTATAAAATACAAAGATAATATAGTTAACACACTTTTCTTGTGAAGTATCTAATTAAATCATGTGAGTCTGAAATAAGGCAAGATCATGTCAAAATTTATTCTGAGAACTTGAAAAAAACATTTAAGTATATTGGGTGCTTATATTTATATAAGAAAATCACAACAAACTAAAGAGAGCTAAAATGTCACAAAAAGATTTAAAATCAATAATTATTCATTTCATTATGGGCTATATGGAGCCGTTACAAATTTAACTATTTGTAAGAGCCACAAACTTATGCAATCAATAAGTAATCATTGAGATATCATAGAAAGCATTTATTCCTTGGGACAACTATTAATTATTTAATTTAGGAAGATAAAAGGGTATGAGAGAATTGGGTAATTAATTTTGTAAAATGTTATGCACATAATTAATTTAAGGAGAATAAAAGGTACGGGATGATTACACAATTAATTTAAGAAGATGAAAGGATATTAGAGGATATGTTTAACTTTATAAGATTGACCAATGAAAAGAAAGAAAACATTTAAAAAAATTATTTTTTTAGGTGAACCTCGACATTGCAATGAAAAATTTTATTTGTTTGAAAATAAGGTTTTTAATTAAAGTTGAAAACTTTAAATGAATATAATTTTTTTAAAATAAAAAATGAATATAATTAAATGTTAAGATTATGTGCATAATTAAATTAAGAAGATGAAAGGGTATCAGAGAATTATATAATTAGTTGAAGAAGATGAAAGGAAGGTTGATCATGAGAATTAGTTACTTTATGAAGGCTATTATAATCAAACAAAAGTTTTTCACTTTTATCGACACTTTGTAATAGTATAGATAGATAGATAGATATAGATTATGTGATACTCCTAGAAGAGTGTGAGAGACACTATTTACTATTTTATTTTTTACTACTTGAAGAACAAATCTAGCCATCAAATATTACTATAACATGAGATTTTGTCATGAATTTTTTGTTTTTAATGTATTCATTTTTTATCTAAAAATGGAGGCCTAGGGGAATACATTTTTCGAAGATTTTTTTGATTGATTGCTTGCTAGCTTTGTTTCAGTTTATTTTTTGAATGTTCCTTGTGTATTGATGGAAACAAATTCTTTTCTCCTTGATATGCCTTTTACTGGGAGAAAATTGCTCTATAAGCATATGCCAATATTGTTTGTCATTCCCGTAAATTGCCTTCAATTTCATAATTGGTAATGTTTTTTTTGGGTCAATATTGGCAATGCTTTTACTCTAGGAGTATGAATCATCATTACACGTATTATGTCTTATAAATGACATGCAACTGGATGACCACAAGTGCCTTAGCCTTTTTCTTCGTGACAAATAGAGTGATCACTCATGCCCATGAAGTTGGGTCCATATCCAATTACATGCATTGAAGAAAAGGCTGATAGGAAGCTAGTGGTACTAGTCTTCAGATCTATATTTTGTGAGATTTTCTCTACACATACATGCCTAGGTGTAGCTTTTTTGTTTACTTACTAGGAGTAACCTGTGCTTGAAGGCACGGTACAACGTACATGAGAAGTGATGGATTGAGGGGGAGGGGGAGGGGGAATTTAATGTGAATGAATTTGAGAGGGATATTGGTGGCCGTTAGATGAGTCTATTTGAGACCGTTGGATGGACTTATTGAAGCTTGCCTTATTTTATATTATAGATAAGTAGTACTTGACTTAGATATGGAGAATGAGATATGCTCTCTAGTGGCTTGAACCCATAGTGAATCCAATAACTACCATAAAATTAGTTGAAGTGCAAGCACATGCTGTTTACATTTTGTTAAGATTATGCACGAGGAGTTATAGTAAAGCTTCCCTTTCATACCCACATACACAGACTGCCCCCAACTCCAACACGCACAAAAAAAAAAAAAACAAAGAAAAAGAAAAAAAGAGGCTGTGGTCTGATCCTACCATGAACTACATGGCTACTTTTGCAGTAGTAGAGTCGTTTTTGCAATTAACAGTTTCAGATGACTAGTGCACTCTTGTATTATGTTTGAATCTTGAATCCAAATCAGTCAAGTTATGGGGTTGACAGACAGTTTTTCATCAGCTTTGGGGGATTAAATTGAATTGTTTGTTTAGCAGTAGGATGGTAGGAAGTGCAGGAGGAAAAAGGGTAAACTTCCCATGTTTGTTTAGCTAGAAACATCTTCTTTCTCAGGGAAGTTAGATACCTGTATCTGCCAAATTTTTTTTTAAATATCCTCTTTAGTTTCCCACCAAATAAATGTAGAAAAAATTCCCCTCAGCAGAATTTCTCTCAATCCCTCACATTCTGCTATGGGTGATCTCTGACTGGCTAGCTTCTGGTTGTCCAAGAATTAGAGTGAGTAAAGTGGGATTGAGGCATGTTTAAAGGAAAGCAACCCTCAACTCAGATGGGCCATAATAAGAGCATGATGTAGATCCAAAATTGACTAATGGTTTTATGGTCTTCATCATCATTGCCGCTGATGTTTTTAGATTTTGAGCCGGTGTCTTTGATTGGAAGTTGTAGCAGCGGGCAAATGTAGTAGCATGTTCTCCCCTTCTGGGTGCTGACTGATCCATGGTTGAGAATCGCAGATTTGATTGAGTAGGGATATTCTATCCATAAACAAGAGTAGGCATATGTTGATGGGTATAGATTGAAGGAACAGTGGCTAGTGTTTTGGTTGTGCTGTGGAGAGTGGCTAGATCTGGTGGTTCTTTGATTGTGTTTGAAACTTTGTTGTGCTTGAAACAGTCGGAGGCCAGTGGATGATTGATGTGTGAGTGTTATGGTGGCATAGAGGTGGGTGGTGATGCGGAGATTTGATTGGTTGATGATGGGGGAAGTAGTAGCGGGAGGTATGGTGCCGGAGAGATTCAGTGTGTGATATAGACACTTTGTTAGGGAACTGTTGTTTTTTTTTTGCTGGGCCTCTGTTAGTGGAACTTAAACGGTTAAAATCTTGACAACAAAAGGAAAGGGAAATTTATACAATCATAGACATTTTCTTGACAGTTGTCAAACACAACTTTCATCTTAAACAAACGAAAGCAGAATAGTACATTTGTTTTTCATTTTTTTTTACTTCACTTTTTATCTCTCAAGTTTTATTGGGTACGCCTTATATACCGCTTTTGGGAAACCTTTTCAACTAAGATCCGTTCGAGGAACATGGGGACTAGATGAAGTAATGAATAATTATTTTCATCTTTTTAGTTGGAACTTTAGGCGATAGTGAAAAAAAATTATCCCTATTTTATTTTATACTTTTTTTTCCCTGCTCAGACAGATCTTTAATACATGTCGGTGTGAAAAAAGGTTGGTGGATGAGGACCCAAAATAAGTTGGTTGTTTTTGGTGGGTTGTCTTGTGGAGTGATATTAATTTTAGCTTAAACATAGTTATATAACTCTGGGCTCCTCCCTTGCTGGAAATTCTTTGCATGTGTTTTTACGTATTGTTGTGAAGACGTATAGGGGTTTTTGGTTTGTTTTCTTTGTTTTTTTTTTCATTTATATGGTTTTTGTGGATACTAGCTGCAAATAATCAATGGGAAAAAAAGTGAGAAAATAACTGCTTTATTTGTGCGCCTTTGCTTGTAAGTTTTTATTTCCATCTTTGGGGTGTTGAGATTTTGATTTCATTGAATAACTGATTATCTTTTGTGATAGGTTCGTTTTACTGTGTTGAATGATTGCTTGCCATTGGCAGAAGAAAAGTTCAGAAAGGTCATTAAAGAAAACTACTACACGAGGAACAAGTTCAACTGTCAATTGACCTCGGAACAGGTCTGCTATCATTTTTGTTGCAGTTTTAATGTTTTTTAAATATGCAGAAATGTAAGTAGCATCAAAACAATTTGGATTCTAATGTAATATGCATCTCATGCCAATATTTGGCTGCATAATATAGGTGAAGAAGTTGTGCAAGCTTTTTGTTACTGCCAGCGAAGGCCCCAAATTGGAAAAATTGACTCGCAGTCTTAGAGCTGAGACTCATAGATCTTTAGACCACGAGAGAAATAGAAGGCGGGGTAAAGAGAGACGCTCAACATTGGGTGGGGAGCGGGAGCGTCGGTATTACGAGCGTCCTGTTAGGTATGAGAGAGAAGTTTTTGCATCTCCTGTGGCACCGGTGTCTCGAGTTCGGCCTTTACCTCAACCAGCTCTCCTTCCGTCATATGCATATGAGAGGACCTTGGAGATGGATCCTTACAGACGGGACCCATTATCAGAGCATCGAGAGGCTTACAGACGGGACCCATTATTGGAGCATCGAGATGGTTACAGACAGGACCCATTATCAGAGCATCGAGATGGTTACAGACGGGACCCATTATCAGAGCGTCGAGATGCTTACAGACGGGACCCATTATCAGAGCGTCGAGATGCTTACAGACGGGACCCATTATCAGAGCCTCATGATGCTTACAGACGGGAACCACTGTTTGAGGATCGTGTTGTTTACAGACGGGATCCATTATTAAAGCATCATGATCGCAGGCATTCAGAGTTGGAATCAAGGCATCTGGATGATAATGCTAGGCGTGATGCCTATAGCTCATACAGAGAACGCCCTGCGGTGTATTCTGTAGGCCTACCCCGAGAGCACAATCCCCCAGCAGACTTGCCACCTGAATACCACCGTGAACGCCTACTGCCTGAGTACCGTTCTTCTGCAGGTCCACTACCTGAGTACCATCGTTTTCAACCCCTGTATCGTTACTAAACTGTCGTTTTTAAAATGGGAAGGCTGTACCATTAGACTCTGCTCTGGAAGTTACAAGGTTTATTAGGTATGCAGTACTGTGCCGAGCTTTATTTGACAGTAAAAGTTTCTGATACGGCTAGACATTCAGCTTTGAGTTCGTATCAGTAACTGACAACGGGAGACTCCTTTTCATATGTATGTGTTGCATGTTGATGATACTAGGGAGAAATAAACTTCTGTGGTCTTCCTACAATTTTATTTTTTTGGTTTAATTGCCTTCTATTTAGTTTTCTTTTATTATATGAAAAAAAAACCCTTTAAGGCCATTTACCCAAAAACATCTGGGTAAAACTCGAATCTAAATTTCTTCCAATCTTCCCTTATATTAATGGGTTATGCAGATAATCGGGCGTTTTTTATATAGTGTCCTTGCTGCTAGTGAAGAGCATTGCGAAGTTAACCTCTATAGATGATGCTGTGCTTTGTAAATTTGTTTGTTAAAACTTTAGAAGCTACAGAATAATGGCTTTTGGTGGCACCATTGCTACTTATGGATCGAGCCTTCTAGCATAGGTCGTCACTCATGTACACGTTTCTTCTTATTTTACCTTTATTAATGTTCTTTGGGGTCTAAACAAACAGACCTAATTTGCTGAAAAAGCACAAAGAAAGTGCTTTTAGTTGATGAGGCATGAGTATTATTTTCCAAGTGTGTCTATTCATTTATTTTTTTTGTTCAACGGCAAAAGATGTTGGGATCAGTTTATAAGTATTTCGATTAATCTTTTTCTTAGTCTTATTAAATGTAGGTTATTTATGCCGAGAGTAAGATATTTATAAATAATAAATCACTCATAATTTGACCCAAAAAATTTGCTAAATTTTAAATATCTGAATTTATAACTCGTTTTTATTATCACTTAGATTTATTTTTTTCGAGTTATAAGTATTTATTTGTCCAAAAAGGAGGCATAGGCAGGAGACTGGTTAATTGGGTACACTTTTTTAGCTGCGTACATGAAGGGTTTTTCTGTACATTCATTATTTTCTTTTGAAAGGTGACTCTTCTCAAACTTTAAAGCACTTGATTTCTTATTCAGGCTCAGAGCACCAACATGAGTAACTCGTTGGTTTTGATTCAGCAAAGACGGATGCTCTCTGTCTCTCTCTCTCTCTCTCTCACACACACACATATGTTTGGAGGTAATGATATCTTTCCATATAATTATTAACTTGACCAGGGGCGGAGCCACCTTGGACCAGAGTGGGCATGTGCCCCTCAATTTTATTTTATTTTTAGACATTAGATATATATTTTTTAAAATAAAATTTAGATATATTTAATTGTGCCCCTCCTCAAACTTTTTTTTTACATTATATATATATTTTTTAAAATAAAATTTAGACATATTTAATTTTGTCCACCTTACTATTGTGTTATTATGATATCGATTAAAATAGACGATTACTTAAATAATAATTAATTTTTTAATAATGTTATTAGAACTAATATATTATGATATTAAATCTAATAGTGAATCCATACATTTAATATCGTTTACTATCCATCCAATGGTCGCAAACCATTGAGTTTCTACCAGTTAAATTTTGATTTTTTTTTGGTCAAGATATAAAATTAAATTTCGAATTAGATGCAATTACTATTATTCTTAAATTTTTAGGGACAAACATGTCTGAATAATTATTAGACGGGTCGAGGTTATTTTTCTAAATTATAGGATTATTTTGTTATTGTATAGAAATGAGCGTCATTATGTAATAAATTACAGGGTAATAAATGAAAGACAGTTTTTACCATTTTGTATATAAAAAAAAAGTATTTATTAATGTCATTGATTTGTAATTCTTTTAAATGATAAACAACAATCAGATTCAATTGTAAAATGATAATAATTAGTCTCATGTAAAGTTTTAATTAATTTACTTTTATTTTTTGTTTATTCATTCCATGCAAATCGTTTTTTAACTTTTTATGTTTAATGAATTTTTACGCATAATTATAGTAAATATGAATTTATGAATTTCTGTGGTCAATTGAAAAAAAATGAAAAATACTATTTAAATCTAATTTGATAACATAATTCAATGCACCCCTTTAATTGAAAGTAAACTTAATCTAACATTAAAATTTACAACTAAAATAACAGTTACATTGAATTAAGTCTATGACATTGATAAAAAAAATTAAAATTTATTAATGTGCCCACCCTAAAATATTTTTTTGACTTCGCCCCTGAACTTGACCATCACGAGCATACCCTGTCAAGAGGTTTCTAATACATAACCCAAGAATCTCCTTATGAGTGTAGTTTGCAGAGGATCTGTTTTACATATGCATAGGGCTTGAAAAAGCATTTTAATATCTTCTCCGATTGCTGCAACATTTAGTCTATAGAAAAGTTAAGCAGACAAAAGAGTGGCCATTGCGAGTCTCTGACTGTCCATATGCTTCAGCCTCAATTGATCGATTATCTCTATCAGTTATCATCACCATGGCCAAAAGTCTTAACCGTCTTCAAGCTGCATTCTTTTTTCCTTTCTTTTGGTTCTATAGTTTTACCTATATATGGAAATCAAAACTGTCTCTTTGTTATCATTATTTCAACTTGAATCGAAAGTGACGTACGGACTAAGACGAATACCATCTTTGTGGTGGAAAAGAAAGCTACTTATCGATGCATAAGATAAGAAAAATGAGAGATTTTTCTTCTTAGTAGGTAGGCAAATCCAAATGGCACAGTGTGAGCGACACCAAGTATCAGTTCCATAAATACTTGACTTAAACTGCTAGGGTTTTCTGAAACAATAAGTCAGCAGGCACAATTTGACTAATTCTTGGTATGAATGCGAAAATAACAGACTACCTGCCAACACGAAATGATAAACTGAAGAAGTTAATGTCAAGATTGAATAATTGGTGCTATGTTATGAAAATGCATGATTTTTTATTTTATTTTTTTGTAATTTTTGTAATTATTGTTAAAATATTGTATGAATCACTGAACTAGAGAATTTTCAAGTTGAAAAAGCCAACATAGACATCAAGTGGAGTTTTCATTTCTTAAGTAGCTTATCAGTGGTGGGTATACTTTTTTTTTGGTAGAGAGGAAGGAGTCATGTGTTATGTGCATCGACTCATATACAGTATGACTAATAATACTCATAATTTTGATTAATACTCGACATAAGTTCAAAATAATACATCACAAACTCCGATGATACACGTAATTCAGGTGGGTTAGTTTGTCAACTGTACAAGTTTATACCCCAATTCCTATATCAAAATAAAATGATTGATTCAATTTATTGTTAATTTATCTGCCAAAAAGTCAAACTCAGCAGCTCACCATATTCATACAAAATGTAAGCATTCATTAGACAATGGTTCAATTTATACTAAATAGTCAAATGCTTCGCTCGGAAAATGTGAAATTATCTGAATAAAGCATAGATGTTGTAGTTTGACTGGGAGGAATTATACCCTTCCTCAAGTAAGGACAAAGGAAGTTGGAACTGAGTTTTTCAAATGTACGTCACCGCTGGGATCTCCAAGTTAATCATGGGCTCGTGCATGGACTTTAACACTAATGGTGCAAGGTATGCGCGCTGAATCTTGTACAATATAAACACGAGAACAGATCTCTGTTTTGGTGAACTCGAGTGAGTCAATCGAGTGGTCAACCCTGCTGCTTGGAACAACCTGTGAGGTCCGGTGATAACCTAAAACGGTAATGGGAGACCCTCGTGGATCAATGGAACGATCCAGTAAGGCTGAGGAAGGCTCCTGGAATAAAGAAAAACAAGTTAGAAGGGTGCCGGAGTGTTTTCTGGTGTATCTCCTCCGACGATCAAATCAGTTTTTGAGAGAGAGGAAGAAGAAAACATTGAGTATAATTTGTAGCAAAGGTTTTTCGTTGCATACCGTCTTGCTTTTTGCGAGGAGTATTTATACCTAAAAAACTCATGATTGTTGTCAGTGTAGTCAGTAGGTGATCAATAGGTACAGGCAACATGCGCACTGATTCCAATGAGGAATGTCTTTTCTTTTAACTGATCGGGATCCCGAGCAACCAAGGCTGTGTCATCGGTCTGCCGACTATTCAATGAGCTCTTCTCGGCGAGGATGTAATAAATGTCATGCCTTAGAGACATTTATTACCTTTCACTTCCGAGCCTTACCGCATTAAATGTTGTCTCATCAAAGGAATGATATAATTAAATGTTTGCTCTCCCAAATCGTGTGTCAGCAAGGGCATCCGGTCTTTCTGTCTCTGATGTGACACAATATGTCATGCGTCCATTCCCCATTAGCTGTGTCCCCTGCCCTCCTGTGCCTTCTGACACCAATTGTGTAAGACGAGGTCATGAAAGCTAACCTAGCCTAGCCTAGGCTAGTGACCTGTACATCAATAGCCTCTGTAGGAGCAAAGAACGCCATCCTGGACGGAGGTACATCTCGGACTCGAGGGGGAGGTTCATCTAGGAGCCAAGGGGAGGTACATATAGCGACCGATGTACCCTTATCAGACCGAGGGATACGTGTCGGTACGTAAACGTACTGGATGCCACTTGATCCCTATGACAAGTACCTCGGGGGAGAGGGACTTGTGAACCGATGGGTACGTGATCTCAGTAATAAGGATTTAGTGACACCGATGACACGTGTCTTCATCTTGGAGTATTTCGAAAATGTCCCATCAACTGTCCCCCAGTCTTCGATCTTCTGAAGCCGAGGACACGCGTCGTAAGGAGACGAAGGGTTTTACAACAACCTCAACTGCTTTATCATTGCATCTAGCCGTTTTCTCCTGCTTAGAACGTCATGCGCATTAAATGCGCCTTTTCGTGTTGCACGCCCAATGATGGGATTGATACTATATATAAATGGGCTTCCTCTCCCTTTTCTCATTTCGTCATTTCGAACTTTCTCAAGAGAGCCCTTACCTGAATCTTCGCCGGAGATCTCTTTCCTTCCGTTGTCAACTGCCCAACCTTTTCACTGAAGTCTTAAGGCCAGCAGACCCATCGTTGCTTCTGAACATTCTGGAAGGAGTCGCCTCAAGTTTTCCAGAAAAAACTCCTTTTTTCATTCTGGTGAGTCCCAATATCTTTCCTCTCTTCGTCCTTCTGTCCCTTTTGGTTTTTCGATAACTGGAGGTGTCTCTGGTTGCCACTCAGCGACCAATCCTCAGGAAGCTTCCTTGGGGATCTTTGAGGGAAAAACACCCTCCTTCACTTTTTCACTTTTTGGAGATGCCTCGTCGTCGCTCTGCCCCCGAGAATCCTCAGGTCAGTTCTTTGGGGTCAAGGAAGTATAAAGTAAAGGGTGGTGAGCAAATTAAT